GGCTGCTGAGGGGCCGAGCACAGTGGGTACTCACCGCAGAATCAAGTTAGAACTCGCCATCCCTGGGGTGCTGCGATCTGTGAAACTGTCGCCGCTTTCGAGGGCTGCTGAGGGGCACAGCACTGTGGGTACTCACCGCAGACTCAGATTAGACCTCGCCATCCTTGGGGGGCTGCGATCTGCGAAGCTGTCGCCACTTTCGAGGGCTGCTGAGGGGCACGGCACAGTGGGTACTCACCGCAGAATCAGATTAGACCCCGCCATCCCTGGGGGGGTGCGATCTGTGAAACTGTCGCCACGTTCGAGGGCTGCTGAGGGGTCCAGCACACTGGGTACTCACCGCAGACTCAGATTAGACCTCGCCATCCCTGGGGGGCTGCGATCTGTGAAACTATCGTTACTTTCGAGGGCTGCTGAGGGGCCCAGCACTGTGGGTACTTACCGCAGACTCAGATTAGACCTCGCAATCCCTGGGGGGCTGCGATCTGTGAAACTGTCGCCACTTCCGAGGGCTGCTGAGGGGCCCAGCACAGTGGGCTTCTCGCACGTCTTTCTCCTGCTCTTCGTTCCCGACTCCCCATGTCCTCTTCGAGCCTGTAGCTGTCGCCCCTCTTTCTTGTATGGTACTCTTGCGCATCATGCCATAGGCGCGTGTCCCAAGTAGCTTACATATCAAACAACGGATCCTGCAATTTGATTGTCCATGCAAGTTTCGGCCAACTCGTTTCCCATGATACAAATGGGTTGGGTACGTCACAGGGTAATGTTTTTTGGGAAACTCGATTGCGAAATCCTTCCTGCACCGAAGGTTTTTGAAGGATTTCGGCATGCGCGCGCGACGACGCGCGCGTGTGCATTTCGTCTCATTTGTTGCAAGGGATTTGTGGAAAAGTGTTATGTTAGAACAAACAATGTCACCGCATAGTGTTTTTGACTGAGGAAACCTCAGGGGGGGAACCCGGCTTTGCTGGGATGGTATGATTTCATAATTAGGATGGACGAGTGTGCAAAATATATGAAATCATACTATCCCAGGGGGAAGCGATAAGTCCGGGGGGGAGGGGAGTATAATCTATTAATCTTGTGGAAAGGAAAAGCAATCGATTATGCGACAAGGCTTTTAGCACAGTCGAACACAAGAGCATACGGGCAGCACTCATGGCGAAGGCGTCCAGCCAGGATTCATTTCATTATTGCAGCAGTTGTACGATGGACAGGTGCCCGCAGTCAGGACTGACGCAACAGGCAGGCCTATCAGCTGTTTAAGGGGCGCGAGACGCTGCCACCCGCTCGGTCCCCTCCTCTGCACCGCTCTTCCACAGCACAGCCTCGGTCCGCAACGAGATTGTATTGTTTAGCCTCTGGTGGGTAACATTCGTTACCTGGGCCAACGCCTCCCTGGGTAACGGAAGCGATCGTTTTTAAGTGGAGGGGCTGGACCCCCACCCAGACGCGCAGGTGCCCGAAGGCATGTTGTGTTGCTGACATGTTCACTTAAGCTCTCGCGTGTTACCGTGGTGCATGCAGGCTTATTTAAGGTACTCGAGCACGCATAGCGCTGCTCGCCCTTTTGCGATTATTATCGGGTCCGGCGTGCAGTTGTACATGCGCGTGGTGCTCGAAGGCGTTGTGTTGTTCGCGAGCACGCTGCGGCGTTCGCAGGTGAATGTGGTGTTCGCGAGAGAGGGAGGTGCAAGAGGAGGAGAGGAGGAGGAGGAGGAGGAGGAGGAGGAGGAGGAGGCGGGGGAGGAGGAGGGGGACGGTGACGACGAAAAAGGACGAGTGAGGGGTCTGACACGCACAAGCAGCTGCAAGCGCGGTGGCGGTTTCTATCCTGTCGCCGCCGCGGCTGCCGCCGCCGCCGCCGTGACTACCACCCCCGCCGTCGTCGTCGTCGTCGTCGTCGTCGTTGTCGTCGTCGTCGGCGGCAGCGGCGGCGTCGTCGTCGTCGTCGTTGATAGCCGTCGTTGTTGTCAGTGATCACTCGTTGTCGTCGTCGTCCTCGTCCTCGTCCTTGTCTTCGTCGTCGTCGTCATCGTCGTCGTCGTCGTCTGTCGTCGTTTGTCGTCGTTTGTCATCGTTTGTCGTCGTCTGTCGTCTGTCGTCGTCTGTCGTCTGTCGTCGTCTGTCGTCGTCGTTGTCGTCATTTTTCGTCATCTGTCGTCGTCAGAGTCGTCGTCGTCAGAGTCGTCGTCAGTCGCTGTCAGAGTCAGAGTCAGATTCGGAGTCGTCGTCTGTTGTCGTCGTCGTCGGTTGTCGTCGTCTTTCGTCGTCGTCGTCGTCCACGTTGTCCTCGTCGTCCTCGTTGCCCTGCTCACCACCGCCGCCCGCCTGCTCTATGAGCTCATGTATGGGCCTTTCTTTGCTCCATCGTTGAGGGACCTTCTGATTGTCGATGCTCTCCGTGGCCACAAAGCCTCTTCGTCCCTTTTTTGAGTGTCCGTCTGGCCAGGCTACACTCGCTCGCAGCCTCCGCCTGGGGGAGACGGGGAGGATGGGGAAGGGGACGTTGAGGAGGAGGAGCAGGAGGAGGAGGAGGAGGAGGAGGTGGAGGAAGACGAGGAGGAGGAGGAGGAGGAGGAGGAAAAGGACGATGAACAGGAGGACGAGGAGGGGAAGCAGGAGCACGCGGAGGAGGAGGAGGAGGAGGAGGAGGAGGAAGAGGAGGAGGAGGAGGAGGACGACGAGAATGAGGAGGAGGAGGAGCACGACGACGATTCCGACGACGACGGTCCCAACGACGACGACGAAGACGAAGGCTCTGACGGCGACTCTGACGCTGACGACGGCAACGACGAGTCAGAGGACGACGAATTCGACGACGACGACGACGCTGACAACGACGACGACGAGGACGGCGACGACTCCGACGCCGACTCCCTTGAGTCCATCGGTGACGCCGATAATTCAGAATGTGATTTCGATGAGGACGGCTGCGACGACGTCTCCAATGATGTCGACGACGATTCCGACGAGGATTCGGACTGCCACCGCGATTCCGACGATGTGTTCGCATGTGCTTTGCCGGTATTCTCAGACCTTGCGCGCGTGATTGAATCGCATGCCACTGTTTTGCTCGCAGGCATAGAGTGCTGCTCGAGCGCGAACTACTGCGATCGCAGCCCGCCCCCGCCCCGACGAACCCCAGCCCTCCCAAGCGTTGCCGTCACCCGGGGCCCAGACCCCCCCCGGGTAACGACCGTTACCCGCCAATATAAAAACGATTTCTGAGAGAGACCAGTGACGTCGACGGCACGAACCGCGAAGTGTTGGGCAATGAGCTCTGCGCAAACTGTACCAGCGGCGACGCAGATAACAACCCTCCACCCCACGACACACATGCAACTGTGAACAAACACACAACCTGCGACGAAGTCACCGCACATGTGGAATCGAAGATAGATATGGAGCCGTGGGTCGACTACACTCAGCACGCTGCGCGGCGCGCGAAGCATTTGAATCACCACGGGGTCAACAGGTGGGCGACAATTCACAGGCAGCAATCATGGCCCATGTTTTCACGGGTTGCCAACCACGAGCGCGCAAGGTGGACGTGGAGATCACTACACGGGCATTCAGGAGAAAATGCACGACAACGACAACGACAACGAATACGACAACAACAAGACGGACAGCGCAAGCGGTGGGACGACGACGTAACCACATATTTCCAGCAACACACATTCGACCTGCATCCAACGCCCACACCAACCACCGCAAAAAGGCAACCTAACGACCTCACCTGTGTTTGGCGGGTTCAAGACATATTCACCCGAGCGCCAATACACCCACACCACGACGCATGACAGCACACGACTCACGAACGAATGTCGCTAGCACCCACAGCCAGGTTCACCACTTCTAACCTCCTTTGCTGCACTAGTGCTTTAAATGTCTGTTTGTCACGGTGCTGGCTTTATTTTCTGGTGTCACCCAGGCCTGGTGTCAGCCCGGCCTGTACGATAGTCCGCAGCGGTGGTTCCTTTGTTTGTCCCGGCCTCGTCATCTCAACTCCTTCGAAACCGTGGTGCAAGCCTTTGTTTTGGAAGGCACTGGGGCCGCTTCTGCATCGCGTTTCGATTGTGAAGGGCTGGTCTGACAGACACCAGAGTTCCCTCAGGTCCCTCATCTCTGGGGGACCCTGGCCGCAATGTCGCGTGTTCAAGCATGGGCTGGCGGAGTCTGGGTGCTGCCAACGGAGTGGGGGCCCAGATGGTTCCCTGTGGCACAGGGCCTACGCGCGCCCAGCTCCCCAAGGCCTCCGACGGGAACAGACCTCAGCCTTCTACGTGCTCGTGCTACTAAGGTTAAGGAGTGGGGCTTCGAGGTGGGGGAGAGGTTCGCGAGGGGCCTGTTCCCGAACGTCGTGGAGGTGCTGGCGGTCCCAGAGGAGCCCGAGCAGCCCGAGCAGACCATCTTCTGGCACAACCAACCTGAGCTTGGCCTTTTGTTGGGTATTGTTTTCACGGGCGGCTCGGCCCTGTGGGTTGAGTGCCCCCACCTAGCCCGAGCGGGCTGGGCCGCAGTGCAAGTTGATCGGTTCGGTAGGTTAGAGACAGCGACCTACGAGCCCGTGCCGAATTCTCCAACACCTCGGCAAACAGCGAGAGATGCCGAGGACTATGCCGTCAATATGCTCATTCGGGTAGCTATGCCCCATTCGATGTCTGTGCAGAATGTGCTGGCACTGTGTGGCCGGGGAAGGGTGGTGGGACAGGCTGTGGGGATCCTCGCGCGCATCTCTTGGAGCCAGTTTGGGGCAGCGCTCCAGCGGGTAGATATCCGTATGCGCACAAAAGGCCCACTGCACGCGTGCGGACATAGGTGCGGGGCACACCACGGAATGGGAGTTTGTAGCCAACAGTCTAGCGGATGGTTTCGTTAAGAAAGGTGTTGCAGCCCATGGTGTCGACCAAACTTTTTTCACCAGCTCTGGCGAGGCCTGGAGTTGCGCACGCGCGAGGCGGCGGCGGCGGCGCGGACCGCAGAGGCGCACATCCATGCCGACGGCCGAGCCCACCAGGATCTGCTGGAGCGTTACCTGGCGAAGCACCAGGCCCCCCCGCCCAGTGCGCCACCCGCTGATGGCCCAGCGAGCCCTCACCAGGAGGCGCCCCAGGATCATTCTGGGCTTCGTGGTGGAGGAGCTGGGCTTGGGGGTGGGGCCTGGGCGAGAGGAGTACTCTAGATTCAGTTTCCATTGGCAGCAGCACCTTCTCTTGCAGCCAGACGCCGAAGGCACGAATCCGAGGGTCATGTTTGTTTTGTCGTGTTGGCGGTGCGGTGCTGTGAGCTCCGATGGCACATTAAATCCGACGGTGTCCTCCTTGTGTCTAGGTCAAGTCGGGAAAGGGACCAGCTCAGGCGGGCATGCAAAGGAGAGCTCCCCCAGTACAGAATGGGGGTTGAAGACCTCCGATAAAGTCGTCCCCGCGGAGTGTAGCCAGCGGTGAGAGCGGACCTGCGCGGGCAGGCCGAAGCCGCTCCCGCCCCCTCCAGCGCGGCCCGCCTGTCTCGTCCGACTTGGGAGCGGGGGGAGGTGGGCGGGCGTGGCGAAGTGCTGAGAGCTTTTTTTGGCCCGACAGTCGAGGACCGATCCAGAGTGCTTGAGATGGGCCGTTTTGCGATACCGAGGGCCACTTCAGCCTCCGCGGACCCCGATTTTGAGGGGGGATCCGATTTGGAGGATTAAGTGTTCGCATTGTTTTTTATGGCCAACCCAAGCCAAGCCAAGACTCTTCTGTCTCCCCCTCCTCCCCTTCCTCGTCCTTCTGTCCCTTTGCCACCTCTCCCTCGTTCTCCTCCTCCGCCGTTTCCTTTCCTGAGTGGTGAGTGAAGATGTTGTGTCTCCTGCGCGGACGGCGCGACATCTGCCAGAGAAGTTTGAACTGCGCGGTTGGCCGACATGGCGCTTGAACAAAATATTGCGCGACAGGAAGCTTGTGCGTTATTCACGCAGATGTGGGGGCCGCCTGCAAGACGCGCTCGCGCACGCAACCGCCGTCGGCGCTCGCGTAGAACTGGCGGGCAATGGCCACGAGGGCGTCGATGCGCTCACATGAGATCGAGCCCCCTTTCAAACCTCCACGGCAAAAGTGCAGTGGTTGAAGCGTTTGAAGTTCACCCTCATGTAGCCCAGCTTGAACTGCAAGGACCACCAGGGCATTGAGAGCCGGCGCGCCTCGGCTGGGAGCCAAACAATTCAAACGGCCCCAAGGCGTTAGACGGGCACCGTCCTTGTCTACACTGGCACTCTGGCAGCCCGCAACGCGACTGCCATGTCCTGCCAACGCCACGTGCGCTAGACCTTTCTCTGACGCAGCAGCTTCTGGAGGTTTGCGCGCATCTTCACCGCCCATGTGGACCGCGTCTGGCGACGCTTAGGCTGGCGCCGCCGCGCAAGCCTCCGAATGGCTCGGCGAAGCTCCTTCTCGGTGCGCCATCCGAAGAAACCATGAATCACGTGGGGCTTCGCAACCTTCAACGCCCTCCACGTGGGCTTCGCTCCTGAAGCGAGCGCCCTTCCAAACACCTGCCTCGAGAATTCCTGGGTGCGAGGTGAAGACGACCAGCGATCCAACGGCCTCAGGGTCGCTTCATGAGGCTGGTTGGGACTTCGTCACCGAATCCACCACCACAGCGCCTGGGCACTGGCACGCAGTGGCGGAGGGAGCTGTGTCGCAAGGGCCTTGGGCGTCGCTGGTTCCGCAGATAAGCGGCAGGCGTTGCCAGAGCAGTCGCTCAAGAAGTCCCGCCTGTCGTCAGCGAGCGGGCTGGGCAGGGGCCGCACGTTGATGATGCAGTGGGGCGGTCCACCTGTGATCGTTCATATAATGCATATCTGCGTCGCGCCCAACAGTGCCCCCCGCGTTGGAAACCCTGCTCACCGTCTGCAGAGTAGTTCCATGGTGCCAGATGATCAGCTCGGCCAATTTGTAGTTGCCATATAGCACCGACCCTGTGGGAATCGCACGCGACATGCCTGCGCCTCATGTCCCCCGCAGGCGCGTTTTACAAACGCGTTGAAGGTGCGCAAGGCCGCCGCGCGAAACAGCTTGTTATCCGGGACAGGTTGCAAGGCCCGCGAGTATGAGTACGAGTGCGGGAAACGATGCGAGGAGGAGGAGGAGGAGGAGGAAAAAATTGAGGAGGACGAGAAGAGGCCTGGCGCATGTGATTTTTCCACACGTAAAGATCTACTAAGGTAGGCCTCGATAGTGCAGCACATGGTCCCTGGCACATACATCGATAGATCGGGTCCCCAACTCTCGAAACCGAGATATCGAGATATCGAGTTCGTCGCACTCGAATCCGAGATCCCGATACGTTGGGATATCGAGATATCGAGTTCCCATTCCCCCGGTATCGAGGTATCGAGAGATCGACTTCCCAGCCCTCCCGAATGAGAGAGGTCGAGACATGGAGTCTGGTTGCTCCCTGGCCACTGTTCCCACAACCACTTGGCCCGCATACGATGAGCTTTTCATCCAGGGTCGTGTCCTGATGGCCCTGGGACCTCGTGGGGACCTTCAGAGGCCGAACATAGGAAAACATATACACTTAAATCTTTTGTTAAGAAACTCCCTCCCCCGAGCTGGGTCTCAGAATTTCTTAGACAAAAATAACGAATTCGCAGAAGCTGGAACCAGTTTCTCAACCTTAACCGTGATTTCCTGCAAGACGCAAGGAGGCCTGGGGACGAGGGCGAGGGGGCCGACCCTGAGATCCGACTCCGCGAAAAAAGTGCAACATTGCGAAAAGCACGATCGGAACTCAGCAGGCGGCCCCACATTTCACAGTATTTGTGCCTGTCTTCCCACCGCTGCGTGCTGAGGTCCTTCTGTGTGTGTTGCCGTTTGTTGTGCGCCATCCTGATGCAACGATCCCAGTTGATCTAACTGTGCCCAAAGTAGAGAGGGGGAGTACACGCGGAGGGGGGACGAGGAGGAGGAGGAGGGGAGACGAGGAGGGAGGATGGACGAGTAGGAGGAAGAGGGGGCCGATCGGAGGACAAGGACCCAGACCCCCGAAGTCATGATTTTTCCCACAGCGTCGACCCCCAGAGGTCTCGACTCAATCCCCACGGCCAGCTTCTCATCCAGAGTGGTTTTTGACGGCCCCGAGGCCCAGCTGGGGCCCCAAGAGGCCCACTCACTCACTCACTCACTCATGCCATGCGCCGGAGCGCGTGGGCGGGAGCGGCGGCACTACGGCGGTCGCATAAATCACAACGTGCGCGGCAGCAGGAGGAGGAGCAGGAGGAAGGAGGGAAGACAACCGGCCGGCCCCAAGAGGCCGAAAACAGCAAAAACCTTCCGCCATGATTTTCTCACGACTCGAGGGGTTCTGGGGGGGGCGAGGGGGCCGATCGCGGGGCACGGACGCAGGAGGAGGAGGAGGAGGAGGAGGAGGAGGAGGAGGAGGAGGAGGAGGAGGAGGAGGAGGAAGAGGAGGAGGAGGAGGAGGAGGAGGGAGGCGGGAGGAGGGAGGAGGAGGAGGAGGAGGAAAAGGAGGAGAAGGAGGAGGAAGAGGAGGAGGAGGCCGATCGGAGGACGCCGTGCCTTCCCGGAGCCCGCCCCCCTGGCGGAGGCCTCCCAGGCCTTCTGAGAAGTCGCCTAAGCGCTCCCCGAAGACGCAGAAGGCTCCTCAGAAGGCCGGAGGGCTTCTGAAAGGCCCCGCCGCCTTCTGAGAGGGCCTTCTTTCTCTGCCGGCCACGCGCAGAAGGGGGTCAGGGAGGGGGGAAGCCTCCTTAGAAGCACCCCTGCCTCGTGGAAGGCGCGGGCCCTGCGTGTAGATGTAAGGCGCGCGCCTGCTAAGAAGCGTCATCCTTCTGAGAAGCCTTCCCCCCTCGCCCTGCCCCCTTGTGCGCGCCGCCAACTCTCACTCCCCCCGCTCGCTCGCCGCCGAGACGTAGCAGGAGGTGAGCGTTTTCTGATTAATTGTTTTGCCGATCGGCGCGGGCCCTCGCACCACCCCCACACCCATGGAGTAGATCTTGGCTGTTTTTGGCGCCTGTCTCAAGCGGAGGGGGGTCACCGTTGCAGACAGTCGCGCTCAGCAGATGTCTGGATTCCGCCCAGGGTCGAAACGCCGAATCAGACGGCTCAAGAGGGGCTCTGGTTTCCAGGCCGCTCCTCAGAGTTCTGTGTCGGGGAGCCTGCTGCTCCTCCTCCTCCTCCTCCTCCTCCTCCTCCTCCTCCTCTCCTCCTCCTCCTCCACCTCCTCCCTCCTCCTCCTCCTCCTCTCCTCCTCCTCTCCTCCTCCTCCTCCTCCTCCTCCTCCTCCTCCTCCTCCTCCTCCCCCTCTGAGGGGGGGCCGCGCCGTGGCCGGGAGAGCGCGCTTCGTTTCCTGCCTGGCCTGTCCTCTTGGCACTGCGACGGCTGCCGTGCTGGCTCGCTCGTGCCCCGCGCGTTCCGTCCAGCATCGGTCGAACAGATCGGGGGTGGACAGAACCCCCAACAGTGACACGTCGATTAGTGAATTGTGCGTCTTCGGTTCTCGAGAGGGCGCCGTGGCCGTTATTTTCCAGGCTTGCGCCCGCCAGGTTTGGGCCTCAGGTCGTTTTCACTAAACCACGTTTTACTAAAGGGGGGTCTGTCCATCCCCGAACATATTGGCTCGCTCACGAGGGCCGATCGGATGGGGGGCCACATGCGAACCCTACCCCTCCCCCTCAGAAATCATGGGCGTAGGGGTACAGTCGGGGCGCTGAAGAAGGAACCCTTTGCGTTGGGGAGGGGCTCGGTGTTCCTTAATTGCTCCACACCTTGCCTGAGGTTTTCCTTCAGTTTTCGATGGGAAGCCGAAGTTTAACTTATGGAGCAAAAGGGGCCTCGTTCCCTCATTCAGGGTGCCTCGGGCCAACGCCTCGACTGTAGGGTTCTCATGTGGCCCCCTATCGGAGGACGCTGTGGCTTCCCAGAGCGCGCCCCCCCCCCCCCCCCGGGCGGGGAGGCATCGCCGCGGGCGGCGCCGCCCTCGCGGAGCACCGCCGCGAGAGCGCGACGGACGCCGACCGCCTCCGGCGGCAGCTGCAGGAGCCCGGCGGCGGCGGCCCCCCAGTGGTGCCCAGATGTTCAGCTCCTCCTTCCCTCCCCCTTCCCTCCCTCATTCCCTCCCTCCTTCTCTCCCTCGTTCCCTCCCTCCTTCCCTCCCTCCTCCTCCCTCCTCCCTCCTGCTCTTCCTCCTCCTTGCCTTCTCGGCCTTTTTGCTGTGGTCAAGTGTAGTGTCTGCTCTTATAAGTGTGACAACTGATATGTCTCCAACTGGAGACTTGATTGCTCCTCCTCCTCCTCCTCCTCCGCCTCCTCCCTTCAGCTAGCCCGACTTAAAGGTTCTAGCCTGTAGCGTTCTCGAGCCAATGTGCGAAACAAGTCACGAAGAGCGTACGACTCGGGGCAAGATGTACCTGGCGGGCGCCGCGGAAAATTAAGGGAAATAACGCCAAGACGAG